ATGATTAATATGTATAAGTTCAGGAAGGGAGAATGCAGGGAGGAAGGGGACAAGCTGTTTTCACTGGTGGCCAGCGATAGGACGAGGGGTAATGGCCACAAGCTGGAGCACAGGAAGTTCCGTCTCCAGGTGAGGAGGAACTTCTTTACTGTTAGGGTGACAGAGCAGTGGAACAGGCTGCCCAGGGAGGTTGTGGAGTCTCCTTCTCTGGAGGTCTTCAAAACCCGCCTGGATACCACCCTGTGTCACATGCTGTAGGTGTGCCTGCTTGAGCAGGAAGGTTGGACTAGATGGTCTCTAGAGGTCCCTTCCAACCTTAAATATTCTGTGATTCTGTGACCTTACTAACCTCAGTAGAGACTTGGATACTTCCAAAACTCAAACACATTCTGATTCACAACCACTAGTCTATGAGACAGTTACAGAGTTGAGTTTCTTCAAGAATGGGGAGCAGCAGAATATTTAGCCAAAAAAAAATCAGCATTAGACAGTCAGTTTATCTTTTATCAATCGTTGCTAAAATTAATAAAATATTTCTAAACTGGCTATTTATATTTATTCACTTCATGAAATCTCAAAATTCCTATTTAAAGCTACTTATATTCTCATCTTGCCTACCTAGGCCCTTTTCCCACAGCTGCCTGAAAACCTGGGCCCTTTTCTTCCTGTTGGCTTGTCTGAGAGTCATTAATAATGCTGACTATTTTCATAAAGAGGATATTAAGCACATATGTAATCAATCTACATTCACTTCTACCACACTTCAGAGCTCACATACCTAATAATTAACAGCCATTTATGTATCTGCAGAGATTTATTCCTGGTTCACTCTAAGCTTTTTAAGGTTTTAACCTCTTTACTTAACCTTTCCATGGCATCTTTCCAGATAATAGTGGTAAGTTAAAAATCTTTTATTCTTTGTTTATCATGTTTCCTTTTCCATTTCTTGAACCTAGTAAAATTCAAAAAGGCCAAAGTGTTTCTACTTCACCTTGAAAATATAGAATCTTCAAAAAATCAGTTCTACTATATGCCTCTGTCTTGTATGTGTTCTGGATCATACAGAGGCCCTTTCAAATTCTATAGACCTTGAGTTTATATTCTGCTTTCAGGCACCCAGAACTTGAGAATTTTCATATTTCTGAACAAAATTGTCCAGACTACATTTAAGGAAATACTTCCTGCCCTCCCCTACCCCCAGTACCTGCAGGAAGGGCTCACTTGCCAATCTTCCCATTTTTGGTTCTATTAATTAAGGTGACCACTGAAGTGCTGTAAAATAGATAAGCCTCTGGGCTCCAGTAGATCTATGTTAACTTGTCAGCTAAAAATAATTCCTCCACATGTGATTGGAAAACAAAAGAGAAGAGTATGAAAATACAAAAATGCACAATTTGTAAAGCAGTTACGAGTCACTGACATCTGATCTCCTCCAGAATTTAATTATTACCATAATAATAGTATGATTAATGATATTGGTCTCCTCTTAAAGAGGAATCTTAACTTGAAACAAATAATACGCACATAGAGTAAGTTTACTTTTTTTTTTTAAATTTGAGAAACCATTGCAACCATTTTTCCCAATTGTTATCTTTTTGCATGCCCACAAACCCTCTCTAACACAGAGATGTTTCTTGGGAGAAGCAGCAACAGTTTATATGGAGATAACAGACAGCAGATGGAATGCATGGTGGCTGAAGTGACATAACAAATATAGAAATCTTTACTTATTATCTTGGTCAAAATACACACACAAATACATATGTATACATATATAATATACATACATATATACATATATATGAAAAACCCAACTGCTTATAAAAAGATTAGGCAGAGAAAGCAAAGTATTCCATGAATTATCTGTAACTCCAGTCTGTCTCCTCTTGCTTATTTGTTCCTCCTGCTCCATTTCTCACTTTCTAAAGCCAAATAGCAATTTTCAGGACATTCCATTTCTGTGGTCTGCTACGTATCAGATTTTGACTGTCACTGATACTGTCGGTTTCCAGTGCCCCCTGGGCTGCAGTTGTAGGGTGGGCCCAGATGCCCTGCAGCGAAGCACAGCCAGGAGCAAAGTAGGGGATCCGGACACATGTGCAGCTCAAGGGGATGTTGGACCCTGGGGGGCACCAAGGACCTCCTGCCCTGCTGCTTCTCCCTGCAGGTAACTTCTCCATGGATTTTTTTTTCTTTCTTTTTTTTTTTTTCTTTTCTAATATGAAGTAACCATACACAAGTTTGGCTATACTATAGCTATTTGGCTATATATTAATTTATATTGTATATTTGGCTAGACTAGTTGTGGCACCCTTCATCCTGTTTCTCCATAATATGACAGAGTCCTGATCTGGAAGCGGGCCTCTGATACACTACAGCAAAGATGCTATGAATTTGCATCTCACTTCACTTTGTAGTCTTCCTTGGCACTGTATCTTTTTGCAGAGTGGAGGCTTTTCTTCAGGTTTGGTTTGCAACCCAGGAACCTCCTGGTGCTTCCTGCATTGTGCAGTCTGCATCTCATTCTCCCCAAGTCCCTGAAAAATCTCTCTGGCATCTGTGAGGCTTTACTATCTAACTGCTCCTTGAGGCATGCAAACATGCCTTTCCTCAGAACAAACTTCCTTGCTCTGTGCTGAAGGCTCCTTCCTTATTTTCACTCTCATTTCTTTATCCCACTCCATGAACATCTACCAGATTAACATATTCAATTACTTCTTTGGGGAGAAGTTGCTGATTCTTGAAGAAAACAGTGCAATCAATACTAGATGAACTAGCAAAGCGTGCTGCAAGAATGGTGGCAAGTTAACGGCACAACAAAATACGGTGGGAATTTAGCAGGTTGATTAGAATTAGTACACAGGCACCTAAGTGACACAACTGCATTAATTTGCCTTGATTATAGCCCTCTCCCCAGGGCTAATCAACTTGCTGTCTGCAATAGATGTAGCAGGCCATCCTGCTTCCAGCTTCCAGGCAGTTTCTCCAGCCAGAGCCCAAGGTTTTCCATGCAGCGTGGTGCATATGCATCTTGCAGTCTCACCATCTATGATTTACAGTCTTCCAATCAGTTATCACTAATGCCCTTCTTGGTCTTTCCAGTACTTGACTAATAATTTTGCTTTATATATTCTATGCTACTATAATTTTACTTTGAATTTTTTCTTCCCTTTCCATTTAAAACATTTCTTCCTTATCTAGCACTTACAAATAGTGGGCGGGAAATCCTCCTTGTGCCAGACAGGATGAAATGATTTTAAAGGAGACTGACACACACCGATTATCCGGATACAAATGCAAGCAATATTTCTGAAAACCTCGCATTGGAGACATGGATCAGAAAGCCTGAGGTGAAGGAAATGGAGACAGCAAAGCTCGTGCAGTGAGTAGGAAGTGAGTCAACATTGGGCAGTTCTTGGTTTTGGTTTGTGTTGTGGTTTTTTTTTTTTTTTTTTTTTTTTTTTTTTTTTTTTTTTTTTTTTTTTTTTTTTTTTTTTTTTTTGCTTTTTTTTCCCTCCTTAAGTTCTTTCGGCTTTTCCCCAGGGAGGAATTTTTCCTCCTGCCCTTACTCTTAGTGTGCCCTTTCCTCCCACGGGGCTGCTCTTTGCTTCCCCTGCCTGGAGGACCTCAGGAATGGAGCTCTCGGCCAGGAGCCCCGTGCTGGGCTTCCCGCGCCCGCCGTGGGGCAAGAGGGGTGGCCATGGAGCAGGGCTGCCCTGTGCAAGGTGCAGAGTTATGGGGAAGGGAGGGCTGAAAGCGCGAACTTGGCAAAAAGGCGCTTTCCTCCGCTGCCATCTTGCTCCCAGAACAAAAACACCTCTCTGCTTTGTTCTGATGTTCTGACATCTCTCTCTCTCTCTGCTACCTTCGGCAGCAAAAGATGACCGGAGTCTCTGCCTTCTGAAGGCTCTGACACACTGGATCAAAAATATCAAAAACAGGGGTGGAGGAGGTACAGTAATTAATCATGTCTGTTTTCCCTTCCTATTTAACGCTTCAGACTAACCTCTTTCAAGCTTTTGGTGGTGGTGAAAGGCAGGTGATCTTCATTCATTACTGCCTTAACATGACTCAGTCGTTAATCAGCCCCCTTGCTGAGAACACAGGCTGTGTTTGTCCATCTCCACCTTCCAGGCATGGGTCTGTCTCAGCAAAACTGATGCGCTTTTCTGAGGACTTATGCTTTCTCCCCATGAATTTATAATTTTTTTTTTCTTTGTTGATTGAGCTCCTGGTCTATCGATATAAAACATTTTTCCATTTCCTGATTTCCTTATGTTGTTTTCTGTCCCCTCTCCAGTTTTTAAACTTCACTTTGAATAGTCAAGTGTTGATGAATACACAATGTGGTTCCCTCCAATGTCAAAGTCTTTGAGGTGAAACCTAGTCTTTCTCACTAAAACCTAGTCTCACTAGTCTTTCTCTTGTAAAGAGGTTTAAGGATTGTCTCAGTCCTTTTTTCTTCCAGAATCGCGCCAGTGATTTATGGTGAATTTATTCTTTGCTGTAAGCATAACTTGCATGCAGAATCATGGCTTAGCAGAGGACTGCTCTCCTACCTTGCATAACCATTGCTGCCATATCTGAGTGAGCAGATTTCTTGTTCCTCCCCGTGTGTTTTGATTTGCACTTGGCAGAATGTAAAGGGTATTATTTAGATTGCCCCACCTCTTTTTGCAAGCAACCCAACCCAGGATTCAGATGAACCATTTTTCATCTTTTTTTTTTTTCTTTGTACTTTAAGCCTTTGTTTTTGATCCCATACCTAACCCCAGGAAGGATTTTCAATGCTATATTAAAAATTGTGTCACCATTTCTTTCTTTCTTTTTTTTTTCTTCTTCTTCCCTGTGAATCTCACACTGTCCTGAAGAGGCCTCTCCCTTTCCATGAGTCATTAGAAAAGCAGTCTAAGGTGCCAAACTCTGATACAGTGTTCCCTTCCCCGTGATACCATTCACAAGGAGCAGATTTCTTGAACAGACGGGTGCTATAATCTCCTAATGCTTTATTTCTCTAAGTGTGCAACAAGCACAGCAGTATCACCATAGAAAATAATCCCAAGGCAAGCACAGGAGCCAGAATTTTACAGCTCAGGAGGGTTTTCAACATCTGATTGCCTGTGCCAGTGGTATCTAGCTAGTACTCAAAGATCATTGTCAATAAAGCTATGTTAGTTCAGTTATTTAATAAATCTATATTAAGCCTTATACTTAAAAGTTGCATAAATAACAGCCTGCTACACAGCATGTTCCAAATGTTTTGCACTTACCTGACTCATTAGACTGACCTTGTAAAGTCATTTAGTAGTAATAGCTGCCAAAATAATTCTTAGGACCATTTTAACTACGTACTTAACTTAGTACTTAACTAAAAACTTAGTGCTTTTAAACAATGACGAGGCTTGTTTCCCAAGTGGAATTCTCTGGCTCTGCCTTTTAAAATCATCATTTCCGCAAACTGCTGAGTAGCTTTCTAGGCATCCTGAAAAGACAGATATTCAACTTCCTTTCAACCCTACTGCTTTCAAGGTTTATTAATGTTTAATAGCTAAACATTATTGCAGTCTTGCTCCAGGTATTGCTGAAAGATGATCACTTTGAACTCTGAGCGCTGTTGTTTTACTGTATGTACTGTATGAAGCACTGTAAAGCTTCATAGCATCTTAGCGTACAGACTTGGAGCTATAAGCAGTAGGTTACCTGAGATGGAATTTGTCCTTGACCCTATCTCAACACTGGTTAGGATTACTGGTGGGATCAGAAAATATCCATCATCCATCTTAGCTTAGAGAAAGCAAAGTGCTAGGAATGTCACTGCAAATTTCATCATGATGTTTCTTTTTCTTTCCCTTTTATGTATGAAGAGCATAGGAGGGGTTCACTACTATTCCATGCAGAAAGATGAATGCCTGCGTAACTGAAATGGGCTGTCAGTAGAGGCTGTTTATTTTCAGTGATCTTAAGAGACCTCCCCAGCAGTTCTTAACTTAAGCAGTTCTTAATTGTTTAGTTCTTAACTAACCAATTAGTGATCTGAAAGCATTCACTGAAAGGGTTCAACACTGCATAACTCTTCAGAGATATTACATTTGCAAATAAGAAAGTCTGCCTTGCTTAAAATAACTAATCCAAGTACAGAACAGAATTCCCTAAAAGCAAGTTTTTCTAAAAAAAAAACTTGTTCCTAAAGCAAGTTTTAATCTGTCTGCAAATTGCTATTGTATTGCTGTAATGTATTGTTAGACTGAGGGGAAGAAGGGGGAAAGTAACTTTGGAACTTTAGGGCTAGGTCTTAAGACTCTTAATGTAGCAATCTTGAAAAATTTGGAAAAGTATGTAGTTTCAAATGTTCTAGACATACCTAGGGAACAAAAAAATGGGATGTGCATGTGTTTAAAAAAAGGTATTTGCAAAAAAAGTATTTTACAAGTGCAGCATCTCTGACTACAGTCATCTACTTGGAGATCAAGGAAAGGGAACCAGGATAACTCTTCCTACTGAAAGTGTGGCTGGGAAATGAAGTTTCCCACTACTTTGTATTACATATTCCTGATATCCTGCCAATGACTCCCATCTCTCCATTTTCTGTCACATGTGTAAAAAGCTTCTCTGTTTTATTTCAGGAGACATCTTATGCTGGCATTGACTTCCTCTTTATTCTTGAGCACATTTTACGTGAGTGCAGCCATGGACTCCAAACCCAATATACTTCTGTTCGTGGCTGATGATCTTGGCATTGGAGATATTGGTTGCTATGGGAACAATACCATAAGGTAAAGGAACTCTTGGTACAATACATTTAATGTTATATAACCTCTATCCTGGGTAATTAAACCTAGTTATAACTTAAGAAATATTCTTAATCTCTTAGTTCTCTTAATCAAAGACTCTAGAATTGCAGTCACAGTTTTCTCTCCTTCTCATGAATGAATTTTTCATTTTCTTCTTGCATGAGCTAAATTTAGGCAATACATCCAGTGCTTTTCCAGAATCCCTAATCCACTTACTTGTTGCCCTCTCCAGGACAGTCCTGTGGGTGGACCCACAGGATGATGTTCTTTCAAAAGCAGTGACTGTGGTGTCAATATGGTTGTGCACAGCAGTGGGTGCCTGGCACTGCACTAGTGGTGACTACAGTTTGGGAAGCCTCTTTCACTCATCATGATGTTGTAGTCCATCCTCCTAGGAAAGCTAGGAACCCATGCAAGTTTAAATGTGTAAAGGTATCACTGGATTGTCACATCAATAGCATATTATGAACATGGAACAAAAAACTCTTGGTTCCAAGACCTCTAAATGCTCAGTAAGATTTCCTGACCTAATGAACAATGAAATTCAGGGTGCAGACCTGTTAGAAGTATTTGAGTAGAGGAGTGCTGTTTTTTTTCCTGGTAAGTCTTTCATTTTCAGTTTTATTTTCAAACTGAACAGTGCCAACAATTTTTAAGTTTCTTTTCAAGGTTGCCAGGTACACTCTATGGCTGTGTCCCAAAAATGGATTCTCCAGTGGCTATAACCCAACAGTCTTAGAGCATGTTCAGAGAAGACGTTTCTCAGGAGCAGTTCAAAATTTTGAGCTTTTCTTGATAATCTGTTGAAATAAGTTTGATACTACCTTGCTTCTAATAACATGAAACTGTTGTTTAGGACCCCGAACATTGACCGTCTGGCTAGAGAAGGAGTGAAACTTACTCAGCACATTGCTGCCGCTCCACTCTGCACTCCGAGCAGAGCAGCTTTTCTCACTGGCAGATACCCCATCAGATCAGGTTGGGCCTGTTTTTAAACTACAGATTTCTCTGAACTAAAATACAGAATATGTATTGGAACAGAAGATAAGAGAGCTATTTCCTTGGCTTGTGATAGGAAATACTTCATCAGTGGCTCTGACTTTAGGTAAATGTCTGAATGGGAACCATTGCCTCACCAGCTGTTAGACTTTTAACATTTTTTTAGGCTATGTGGAAGATGTGTATGATACAAATAGATTAGTAGGGAGAAATGACAACATTAAACAATATCTGTCACTTCTTTACTGCAACACAGCATGGTGCTATCTGTTGAAAATTCTCTTGGCAGTGATGGTTAGAGGTGAGGGCCTGAAACAAGAGTCCCAAATGAAAAGGACAAGTTCAGAGCCACTGTAGTGCAGTAAGTTACAAAACTCCACTGAAAAATGAAACATGGGGTCCATTCCAAACTTATTTATGGCTTTTGGATAATTTTGTAGGTATGCTTTTCTCAATAGGAGCTATATAGGAAACATATATGCAAAGTAAGTGAAAAATCAGTGTATATATTGGGTTAACTATCTCTTAACTGCTGTAGTCATTACATCTCTGGCATGCTAATCTAATGTTGACTGTAGCTTCCCTTTGGCTTCCGTAATTACAGCTTATACAGAGAAGAGAGTCTATGCTTGTGGCTACACCAAAAATTTGAGGTTTTTACTCGCAGAGAAGGAGTTTTATTTTAATCTCTTAGCAACAATGAAATCAAGTCTTTTTGTAAGACTTTAAAGATATACGGTGAGGAATTTTATTTTAAGCATATAAATCTTATTACTCTCAGTAAATCGTAGATTTTAACATCTTTATATTCAAAACATCATTTGGAGATAGGGAAATGCAACTGTTATCTCTCACTTTAGACGAAGAACAGGGAGATTGAATTATTGCAGTTGCTCAGAAAGCCGGAAAATAAAATTTACTCTATACTGTCACCACTGATTTATTCTCAATTTGATGGTAAAACTGGTGTCAAAAAGCATTTGCTTTAAAATACAGCTCCTGACTACCTGAATTACTTTAGATACAGCACTGATAATATGATGTGACTGACTACAAAACATGTTTGGCTTTACATCTTATGAGGAGCTCCATCAGCTTCAGATGAAGCACCTGGCTCGGAGACTGACAAGAGCAGCCCAGCCTCAGCACGCACGAGGGAAAGGCATGCACACAATGACCTGGATTGTTTTTGTCAGGGATGGCCTCCAGCAATCGGTACCGAGCGCTGCAGTGGAACGCAGGGTCAGGAGGGCTCCCTGCAAATGAAACAACCTTTGCCAGGCTGCTACAGAAACAAGGTTACACCACTGGGCTGATAGGTAAGCGAAAAGGCTTTATCACTCATTTGAAGAGCGACCTAGTTGTATAAAGGAAATCTGGGAATTGTGTTCACCCCAAATAGTCCATTACTCATAGTTATGAATGTTCTGAAAGATGGAGAGGATAAAATACTCATGTTTGCAGCAACCCTAAAAATTACACAGTTTGAAGATTTTATAACAATATTAATGCCAGTATAAGGGACTTGACACAGGGGAGATATTAAAAAAAATAACTCTTGGTTGTAATGAATGAGCATTTATTTCTCTTGACCTAAAATCTTTAACAGTTGGTCCACCGAGTTTGGTTGTCTTGGCACAAAAAAGACAGTTTGTGCCCACAGAGCAGAGGTTTGTGCTGATAAAGCTGGAGTGTCTCACAAGTGATGCTGTGAGTTCCCAGTGATCCACAGCCCTGCAGCTGCTTCCTCATATGAAACCAAGCTGCGTCAGTGTCAAGAAATCACGGTATTCAGCACATCTTTCTGTCTGTAACCTGGGTCAGACCTGGAGATCTTCAAGATCCATAATTCTTCTGTCAAATATCTTTAAAATCTGCTAGCAACATATCTTTCTTTCCTGCTATTCAGCGTTCATTACTGTACTGCAAAGAATCCCTTCACATAAATTGACTAAGAGTCAACACTGGTTCCCTTAAAAACAGTGCTTGGGTCAGATGTGCCCAATCCATTGTCATCTGCAGTGTTAGGATCACAGCAGTGATTGTCATCTGCAGTGTTAGGAAACAGACACAGCCATGTTGAGACAAGAACTAACTAAGTGCAGTCTTCCTGACTGAGCTGATAATTACATGGAGATTACCTACCACAACAAACCTTGGGGTCCTCTGATCCAGCAGCTTTTCTAAGCAGACACCAGCTTTTGTCTGGTTTATACATTTCCATCTCTTTCCTATGGAGTAGAGACATGCTTGGGAAATCATCTTCCTGAGCCTGGTGATTAAGATATTTGTTAATAATAGGCAAAAGTTCACTACTTTTGTAACATTATGTTAATTACTATTAATGAAATTTCAAGTCAGGCACTTGAAAGTTAGAAAGTCACTGTATTAAAGGAATCTGCAAATTAGAGTACCTTCAGTCCTGTAACTGAAAGCCAATGAAACCCTATGCTTATGTGATCCTCATCACTTCAGTAACTGAGCGTGTTGCAAACTTATCTGTTTATTGCATGGCAGTTTGGGAATCTTACATTATGTTGTGACATCCACTTGATCAGGCATTGAATTTAACCAGCATCCTTGTGCACTGGGGAATGCTTTAATCACCTTTATTCACATAGGGAGTGACTTACTGAATTACTAAACAGTTCCTCACAGTGTTATTTTGACTTTTTGTTGAGTTGTCTATGTTAATGTTCTAATTTCTTTCATGCTTTAAAACCTCCAGGAAAGTGGCATCAAGGTGTAAACTGTGAATCCTTCAGTGATCACTGTCACCATCCTCTGAACCATGGATTTGACTACTTCTATGGCATGCCTTTCACGCTTCTAAACAACTGCCAGGAAAACAAACCCCCAGAGCTGGATGCAGCCCTTCAAGCCAAGCTTTGGCTTTACAGCCAGATAGTTGCCCTTGCTGTGCTGACTCTCACCGCTGGAAGACTGACTGGTTTAATTTCCGTCTGCTGGAAGACAATTGGATATTTTACTTTGGTTGGCTGCATCTTCTTCATTTCTTGGTACTCCAGTTATGGCTTTGTGCAGTACTGGAACTGTATCCTGATGAGGAATCACGATATTACTGAGCAGCCCATGAGGCTGGAGAGGACTGCGTCACTCATGCTGAAAGAGGCAGTCTCATTTATCGAAAGGTAACTGATTGTCTGTCGTTTTCCTTAAATGAGGCAGGATGTTCTGGGCTCTTCTAGTAGAGTCTGTTCTCTAGAAACTAGAGATGGATCTTAATAACTGAAACTTTGAAACATTCCAAATACATAAATGTATAATCCCCTTTGCTTGCACTTAAGGTGTAACTATCCTGAATATGAGCTTACAGCAAATGAGATGTATTTAACCAAATGATATATGATTAGGAAACTCACTCATAAATGCCTAGATAGAACGCTGCAGATTACACAATTATTCCTGCTAAAAGTCCATTTAGAAGTTCATTTTCACAGCATTCAAAGAGTTGAGAAGAAAGTTAAGATGCTCCATGTTCTAGCCTCAATTTCCTCTTCTGCCTGCACAGCCTTGAGCAATTATTTCTGTGTACCAGTTGTCTTTCTCTAAAGCAGGAAATACTTTTATTTTCTTCAAGGCTATGAAAACAAATATACTAAAACTATTATTCACCCCATTAGAAAATCTGTATACATGTTAAATATGAATCATAGAATCCTTAAGGTTGGAAGGGACCTCCAGAGTCCTCCACCTAGAGCACGTGGCACAGGGCTGCATCCAAGAGCATTTTAAAGATCTGCAGAGAAGGAAACTCCACATCTTCTCTGGCCAGCCTGTTCCAGGGCTCTGTCACCCTCACTGTTAAGAAATGTTTCCTTAAGTTCCTGTGGAACTTTCGGTGCTTCCATCTGTGGCTGTTTCCTCTAGTTCTAGAGATTATATCCAGTTGCATTTAATTAAAAAGCATCAGATTTGGGCACCTAATTTACTTAAGCACTCTGTACATGCTCTGCCTATCTACACATTAGAATTTTTAAATAAGCTTGACTTAAGGAGTCTTTCCTATATTTTATGCCAAAAGAAATCTTCTAATCACAATCAACAGAGATATTTTGGTTGTGGGTACAGTCTAGACTCAATGCGGGAGTCTGTATGAATGAATGTAATTTAAAAAAAAATTCGAAGTGTATAATTTTTTTTTTTTTTTCAAGAAACAGGCACAGAAAATTCCTTCTTTTTGTCTCCTTTCTTCATGTTCATACCCCACTTTTTACCACAGCAAGATTTTTGAGAAAGAGCAGACATGGTTTATATGGAGACAATGTAGAAGAAATGGACTGGATGGTGGGTATGTGTTGTGAAAGATTTCTTTCAAACATATGCCTGACATGAAGAGATCTGGGTATTTTACGGCAGGAAGCTAAGACATCTCAAAAAGTCTCAACTGCTAAAATCTTCCAGTGCTTTTTTAAAACTTATAAATATCTTGATCTTTCTGTTTGCTTAATAGGAACCTCGCTGACTCTTTTTTTTATATTTGAGGTAAAATTCTGGATGCTCTTGACAAAGAAGGTTTGAAGAATAATACATTCACATACTTTGCCTCCGACCACGGAGGACAGCTGGAGGCTCAGGATGGATCTGCCCAGTTAGGTGGCTGGAATGGTATCTATAAAGGTAAGAATTACAGTATGACTTTGCATGAAGGTTAGAAACAGGTATTTAATGAATTTGCCTTGCTCAGGCTGACAGGGATGGAACGAGCTGCATTGTTTTCTAGATGAAATATAGGTTTTATGCAGGGGTGCTTTATTCTTTAAATCACCTTTCCTTTCAGTAAGATGCAAGCTTTATTACTCATCTCTATGATAAAGGTGCTTTATAGTTTGATACCTATAAGACATTTGTTTTTCTAAAATTGAAAGCTACAGAAAAAAGTGCAAGGTTTTGACATTTATTTGTCCTTTTTTCTTTCTTCTTTCCTTCCACAATAGGACTTCTTCCTGATTTACTTGTTTATTTTTCTTATTATACTTCAGAAATTGTACCTGCCTAACTAATCAATATGGAATAGCATATGAAGGGCATATTGTGCCATGACTTGCAGAACCAACTTAGTCCCTATATGCTTTCATACTCTACCCAAAACCAGGGATTGGCAAAAAATTCAAATGCCATTCACACTGGTCTCCTTAGTCAAAGAGGGCTTTCTGCATCTCCCTTTCACTGTGACACGTTTCAGCCTGATGGGTAGTGCAGTGGCTTTTTCATGCCAAAAGAATAGGGCTCTATTGCCTGTCCTCTCGTCCACTCCGGCAGTCTTGCTTGGTCAGGCAGCCTCATACTATGACCCGACACGAAGCCCAAGACATGACCAGTACAAGAAGTGACAAGACAAACTTAGAGACGATTCAGATCTCACGCCCTGCTATCACTGGTGAACTCTCCACTTCTTGCAAAGCTTCCAATGATTTAATTTCATAAATCAGGCTGCCTCCAATTTAGAGCTCACCTGAACTACTCCCCACTGCACAGTGGAAGTCAAAGACTTGAAAATTTGGCTTCCACAAGGTATTTGTCACACACTGCTAAGCAAAGGAGGTTCCCTTATGAAAGGGAAGGGCTTTCACTTAATACAATAACCTTACTTCTCATTTCTTATTTCCTCTCTTTGCATGAGAAGTGGCTTCTCTTCACTTTCTGGATGACAATACTGATGCATCAGACTGATGGGATCTAGCAAGGATAATGGTTTTTGACACGCTGAACACCTCAATTAAAGTTGAGTTTTTCATTGGGAGTAAGATAAACAGTCTTCATGTACCTACTATCAGGATGCTTTATTAGGATACTTTCTATTAGTAGCACGTGGGAAAAATGGACTTCCCTGCCATTTGAAGGAAAGCGTGTATGATGTGATTTCATAGATTCAAATTTTTGCTTCTGAGTTTGGAGATGTTAAAATAAGCACTGAGGAAGCCAGGTCCAAATTCCAATTTCAAAAATGGAAGAGATGCATGAAACCTTGGGAAACACAAGTGCTAAGGGCACATATTTTGAAGGGAAGTATCCATGACTGGAAAGAAAAGCAATAACATTTTGAAGGTGTTCATTAACACCAGGGCAGTAGTTCCTAAATCTTATTAATTTTTAAAGAGAATATCAAATATTTCTTCAATCTTGTTCGCTCTTCCAGTTTCCAGTCCTTCCTCTTCTTTTTTTTGCTGTGAAGCTGTTCAAAAACATAAGTGAATGCAGGCGGGGTACAAAATGGAAGGAAGCAGAAGATGGAAGTTATTTTATTGTTGTTGAGTACATAATTTTCAAAGGCAGATTTGCCATACATATATTGCATTTCAGTCCTTCTGAAGTATGTGAAATCGAGTGCAAAGAAAGAGTCAAATCTTCCAGATAAACAGAGCATTACTGTGTTTTTTTTTGTTGTTGTTGTTGTTGTTGTTTTTCTGTAGATTCAAATATAACAAGCCAATTAATGGCTTTGTATTTTGTGATTGCCTTGGAATTGCTATTATTGGTTTATTTCACTGCAGGTGGAAAAGGCATGGGAGGGTGGGAAGGAGGAATCCGTGTGCCAGGAATATTTAGATGGCCAGGAGTGTTACCTGCCAATATAGCTATCGATGAACCTACAAGTCTTATGGACATTTATCCCACCATAGTTCATCTGGCTGGAGGAACATTACCTCAGGACAGGTATGCAGACAAGAAAACATACTTGCTGTGGCATCTCTTGTCATATCAATGACTGTTATTTTGCTTTTATTATGAGGTGGGTATTAAAAAGACTTTTTTTTTTCCTGTGCTGTTGCAATTATATACTGCAACATCGGGAGATACAGGAGGCTCTAGAATTCATAGGTTCAGGCAAGGCTCTGAAATCTCCAAATGTGTAAACATATTTGTTGAGTGCTTGAACTAAAAAGAGTACACTAATGACCACTGGACACCATAAAGGTCCCTGACTGAAGAACATCCCAGTGATAGATATAGTGATGACGGAGAGAAGAGAAATGCAGGCAGGAAATTCAGAATTCTTTTCCATTAACTTTTTCTCTTCTCAACACCTGCTCAATCCTATGTCATAGAGGAAAAAATAGATGTCATGAGTGAACTCTGACAGATATGCCCACAGGTGCTTACATGACCCGTGTAGTTAATTATTTCCAAATCCCCCCGAAAGTCATTAAACTTATGCATGTTCCAAAGGTTTTATGAGGCTCCTTTGAAAATGGCTGTATGTAAACAATTTTGAGATCAATAATACTGTTTTACCTAGGAATAATAGCATTTTATCTAGAGATTTAAAATATTAGTTTGACATGCTGATGGCTGCTGTAAATGTATAGCCAAATTACTACGTAAGCTCTTTAGCAGCCAATGCAAGGACAGTGATAAGTATGCAGCTCATTCTGTCAGGTTTGCCCCCATTGAATACCCCTCTCCTCATCACATTAGAGTAATCGATGGCCAGAACTTGATGCCGTTACTGCAAGGACGTGTTCAACACTCAGAGCATGAGTTCCTGTTCCACTACTGCGGGTCCTACTTGCATGCAGTGCGGTGGCACCAAAAGGACAGTGAGTATAAACATTTGTTTCATGCGAACTGCAAAATATAACAAGCATTTCATCCTCTTGATAGCCATCGTCCTAGCTGACAGGTATTTTGTATGATGGATATTTATCTACTCTGATCTCTGATATTCTTGAAATTATTACGAATGATGTGTCAGTGACTGGACAGCTGGAGATGTCTCACAGCACAAAATGTGTATAATATACCGTAAATAGATTATAGGAGGTGCATTGAGAACATAGGCTGTCTAGTATTATGAGAGATGGTTTGCTGTTTTCTTCATATCTCTAATGTTTGATATCTCCAAATCATTATTGAATGTAGACAGCCTGTTTACTGATGAATGTGGGTGAGGAAAGTAGTGAGGATAGGAGAATCTGTCTTTAGTAAACACATGTATTGCTATTGTTTGAAGACATTTTCCATTTTCCTCTGTTGTCTTCTACTTGTGTCATAACATTTCTTTCCTGCCAGGTGGAGCCATCTGGAAGGCACATTATGTGACCCCAGTCTTCCATCCACCTGGGGCTGGAGCTTGTTATGGAAAAGGAATTTGCCCATGCTTTGGGGAAGGTGTGATCCACCACGACCCTCCACTGCTCTTTGATCTCTCACGAGACCCTGCTGAGGCCAAACCTCTAACAGCTGAGACTGAGCCCCTCTTTGACACTGTAATAAAGAAGATTAGAAGAGCCACAGAAGAGCATCGCAGGACACTGACTCCAGTCCCAGAACAGCTCTCCTTCCACAACATTATTTGGAAGCCGTGGCTGCAGCCCTGCTGTGGGACATTCCCCTTTTGTTGGTGTGATAAGGAAGGTGACAGCACACACAGTTTGTGAGATGGATGCCTAACAAGAAGTTCTGTGGCTCTGAGCTCTCTGCTGACAAAGCTGTCAGAAGATGATCATGTCGGGGCACAATAATATTTTTTTTTGTCTTGGAAACAAAAATAAAGGAATGTTGAACAGATTTTTTATCCTTTCATTCTTCACAACTAAGCAAAAGCCGTAGAAGATTCCTTTTTTTGTGAGTGGAAAAGGAGTTGAAACTAGATCAGCTTTTCAGATTTGCATCTAAGAGACAACTATAGATGTACTTCCAAAATGTGCCACTCAAGGAACACAATTGGAAAAGTCTGTAGAGAGCATAGTATATGGTGCTGGTGAGGTAATAGCAGGTAATCATTAAGAAATAATAGACTTCTGAGGAACTCCAGATGCTTGCATATCTGCTCCCAAGCTCATGGTCATACTGTAGACAAACACAGTGATTTCACTCTTTATTGCTTTCTCATTCCCTGACTCTGAAAATATACTGTTCAATTCTGTTGCTTTACTAATATAAAAATATTGCTGTATAAAATACACTTAAACACCTGAGCCAGAGTGAATCTGATTTAGTGAAGGATATTCTTCAAGTTCTAAAGAGCTTTTGGAACAGATCTGTGGGCAACAATAATGTATCACAGATAGAATAAAGTACAAAATGTTGAAGTCCAAAATAACTCTACAACAGATGCAACAAGGAGTTGCTCCCCTGAGGGTGGTGTTTTTTATATACTTCTTTGGTAGATAAAAAAAATTGAAATAAAAGGATGCCAATAAAAATGTTTTGGATAAATAACTCACAGTGTTTTAAAGTCAGTTATAAAAAGGTATTGTTCACTTGAGAGTGTTATTGAAATTAATGCTTAAGAATAGTTAGCAGCAGGATACTTAATTTTTAACTACTTACAAACCACTCAGATAAAGGAACCTTGACAACATTAGTACCAAAAAACAGTGATGTGGCAATGAGTCATTTTTTTCTAAATGTGTTAAATTCACTGAAATTCACTGTGAATTTGCAGAGATTTTATGCCTTGACCAGTACTGAGGATGGTTTTCTGCAGCAGGTAGATATAGTCTGAAGTTTTTATAAGCACGCTGGTAAGACATTCTGTAGGAATTGGGATTTGGAGAAAGTAAAAGGAAACTGCTTATTGATATTGATAACCCTCCACCCTTTGCAAATGGTTGCAACCCCTCCAAAACTTGCTCAGCCAGTTCAGAAGTTCCCTCAGGAAGATTCTTACCCGCAAGAAGGAATATCAGAATGCCAATATTTGCTTTTGTAAATCAGACATGTGAGAATAGCTAGATAGAGGATGGCAGTATAAAGCACACCATGATACAAAATTTAAGTGTTTGCTGGCAGAGAATTCCTGTGTAGGCAGTAGTGAGTAAACAGTGGCTTCCTGTGCTTCGGCACAGTGAAAAACAGGTTATTTTAGGGGAAGCAAATTCTGCAAGGCTCAAGAAAAGAAATCATCTCCTTTCTGCTTTGTTACCACAAAGCTGTAACTCTAATGTAAGATTTTGCTTGAAAGTTTAATTCTACTGAAGGCAATAACTACTCACAGCTGTAACCTCTGCATTGCATGACTAACTCGGTGCTAACAGGATGCAAAGTCCATACTAGCAGAATGCCTCCTCCACTCACAAATCCTTTGTTTTGTTATGAGGGAAAAACTTGAATAATTTTATTTTTTTAACGCCGTCCAGCAACAACATGTGCACATCTTCAACAGTGATCACGTGGTGAGAATGATGGAAGCAGAACAGAAAAGCTAAAAGGCTTAAATTTTAATTTGAACTGAAGACATATAGATGCTTACAGTGTTAGCAGCTTTTAAGGAATCATCTTTCCCAAAGCACAATGTCATTTTCAAGAAATTACCTTTGCACAGGAAACATCACAAGCATGTTATGTAATCATACCATATAAGTATTAAATGGATATTGATAAAAGTAGGCAAATTTGCCTAATGTGTCCATTATGAAAATAATCAAATGTGAGCAAAGTGATCAACAAAGCCACGTGTATAAACGTGAGCAAAGTGATCAACAAATCAAACTGCCTTCAACTCTACTTGCCCCTCCAGCAGTTTTATACAAAACTCATAGTTTAACCTGCTACATCTTTCTGTCGCATTTACTTCTAAATACAAAATTACATTAATATTAATTAATATTCAAGGTATTCAGAGCCCTGAAATGTCAACAAATCAACAGATACTGTTATTTACAGGCACACATTATTTATAGCATCTCTTTGGGGCACTGAAATACAGCAGTGATGGAGTTTATCCAGGTCTGTATAGAATTAGCGGCCCTGGGAATCTAGGCACGGCAGCAGCCGTGTTGTGCCAGGATTTCCAGGCTGCTTTGTAGTGGCTCAGCCAGGAATTTGTGTCAAACTTTAACCTGGCTCCAGTTTGCCTGCTGCTCCTGGCGGGAATCCCAGTCAATTGCTGAGTGAAGCCTGGGGGAAGAGGAAAAACTCCCAAGTTCATCCCACTGCCTGCCAGGGGCCTTAGCGGATCCGCACTGCGAAGCTGAGCAAGGAAGGAGAGGAATTCAGGTGCAAGAAGATTAATCAAGAGGAGGGTTTGTTTTCCACGTTGTTAGAAAGGGGTTGGTCGTTATCAGTCTTGATGACAGTTTCCTCTGACTTGCTCCCTTAGGGAGGGAATTACAGCCTGATGCTTCCTTAGATACGTGTAACTGTGCTGATTTCTAGAGGCAGATGTTTGTTAGCTGTTACGTTTCTGTTTGTGTATTTAATAGATAAGGAAACTGAGCAAGCTCTGGGGCCCAGAACTGTGTTTGCGATGCTCTCATATCAATGTCAGGGAGAGCTCCACTCTGTACAAATCAGCGTCTGAAAGAAAATGATGAATATGCACATTTAAATGTTTTGTTTTTTCTTTTTTACTGGTTTGGTATTTCTTCTAGCCCTTCAGTAAGAGTAGTGCTCCAAAAATGTTTGCACTAAATCAGAAAGCACTGATTTTCAGCATGTAGTTTGATTTCACATTTCTGAAGTCAGCAAACAGTGTTTTCAGTCTATTATTTATTCAGAAGTCTGTAAGGGGGGGCGGGGGAATGACAAAAAACATTAACCTGTCAGACTGCTGTAGATAAAAAAAAAAAAAAAAAAAAAAAAAAAAAAAAAAAAAAAAAAAAAAAAAAAAAAAAAAAAAAAAAAAAAAAAGCTCTTGCAGTTCTCCTGCAATAATTGTTTTAAAATGTGCCGCGTGCTCTGGGTGTCCCTGCCTGAGCAGGGGGGTTGGATTAGATGGTCTCTAGAGGTCCCTTCCAACCTCAGCCATTCTGTGATTCTGTGATGCCACAACCAAAGGTATTAAGACCCAGGTATTTTTAGGACCACTGCAACTCCCTGATTCTGAGTTCTCAGCTTTCCCACATGGCTGTACAAAGTCTCCACCCAAATAGCAGCATAGAAACTGTCACCAGCAGCAGTGCCACTGAAAGCTATTAAGAGAAAGCAGACGATAGCAGAGCTGCTGTACTGGCTTGGAGCTCTTACGAATTCCTTTAGGAAAGCTGGGGATTTCTTACATGCTCAGATCTGTCTGGTATTTTTGTTCTATTCAGCTTCTCGGGGCTGTAATGACCCTCAGTTACCGAAGCTAGACAGAGGACGTTCTCATTGCAGTAGCTTGGGCTCATTTACCCGCTGCAGTCCTGTTAAGCGCCAGGCTGCCTGCCAGCCCCAGGAGGGCAGAGCAGTTTTGCTGGCTCCATTAAAGCCCCACGGAGAAGCTTCATTGCAGGCAAGGGCCAGAGCCTTTGCTGGCTCTTCCTCCTCCCAGGCTAATGCCTTTGTGCGCTGGCCTTGTCCTTCACCCTGCGCTGCGTGGGGCTTCAGTTGGAATTGCTGCTAGCCTGTGATTAAGAGGCACCAGTATGATACAAACAAGTGATAATAGCTCCAACAGGCAGTCCTTTGCTTCACACTGATACAGCCTTTTTATTGGAATCATGTCACTCCATCTGTGGCATCTGCACTGGCAATGAGATCCTTTTCCAAACGTAGCCAGTATGTTTGGTGAGAGGGGTCTCTGCTGCCCATACCCCTGAGTCGGCCAGGGGCAGGGTCGTTAGAATCTCAGTACTATCTTTCAGGATCCTACCCATAAAGAGGGGAAAATGACCTAAACCATATGGAAAATGCTCTTTCCAGGAAAGATCAGGCACATAAGAAGCAGATGTATGGACAGGAAGTGTAATTTTTGCAGGCATATCGTTTTGGCCCTAGTCAAATAGGCACCCAGATGTTATCATCAGTGTAAAAATCATCAGTGGAATTGGATATGACATTTTTTATTTTCTTTTCCTAATAAGAACAGCATCATTTATTGTTTTCTTGTCCATTGGCTCATTCTTTGAAATTCATAGGGCAGAATTATGCCCTGCGCTGTCCAGTTTTTTATTCTGCACAGATGAAAAACAAAAAACATAGCATTCTTACATGCCACTAAAGGTGGGGAAATAATCTCCAGAAAATGCTGCTTTTCCCTTTTGAAAATGTACTTGTTGGGGGAGGGGCAGGGAAGAATCTTTCATTAGTCGAGATGGAACCTTACAGGAGTTTTTACTTTGTGTTTGGAAGTGCTTTTTGTTTACAACTGTGATTTTTGCAGTTCTAAACTGAAAAAATCAAAATGGAAGCAAAAAAAAAAAGCTTTTCCTTGAAAGTAAATATGCTTATTATCTTCAAAATATTCCTTAATGGAACTGAGAATATCTTTGTTCTTGTACTGTTTTGAAATAGAAAGAAGTGTAGGAAAATAAGAATTTCCCATGGACTGGATATTTAACATTCTGGTCTCTTTCCACACAGAAGAAAACAAAAGGCACCTCTGACTTACTTTGCAGCATTAAGATAAGCCTGTGCCAGGCCCTGTGGAGCCAATTTATCATATGTTCCTGCATGACTTTTACACCTTCAGTGCATATTTTCTGCAGATGCCTTAGTGTAAGAGTGCATTTCCAAATCCATTCTGTATCCAAATAGGTTAGTTATACTGGTTAATTCAACAAGGAAATTGCTTCCATTCATAAAATCTGACTTCCTAGACAAAAAAAAAAAATGTTTAGGAACT